CCCCATGTTCATCCAGCATAAATGCAGTAATTAGTAAGTACAAACTTTACCCAAACATACCCACCAATTCAACCCACCAAAATTCTTTTTTGCCCCAGTACATATAAATTGCAAATAAAACCTGACATATTTGGTTCAGTTACTTCAACCTGTACAACTCAATAAAAAATGATAATGGAAAAAGCAGGACTCTGTTCTTTTGTGGTTGGCATTTTTTTTTATTTTTTATCAAAGACAATCAGTAACAAGATAAAATAAGGCAAATCAAACAAGTGCTCAGAGATAGAAATCTGAAAACACAAATCTTATGGCAAATGCTGGGACCTTACAAACTAGGGGTGTGAGCTCATCAGCCACATTTCTAGCATTAAGGCAAGGAAGATGTGTTATATGATGATAAGGCAGCTGGGATCTGCTCCAGGCCTGTGAGATGCTGTTCTCCATACTGGGACATCACCTTAAAGGGTGAGGGATGTAGCCCCACTCCCATCTGCTTTCAGCTGTTTGGAGCCACAGACTACAGGTTCTTCCTTTCACTGAGACCCTCCTAACAGCATGTCACAAATTTCTTTAAGGACTTTCTATGCAAGCCCTAATCCCCTCTGGCCTCTTTACTGGCTCCCTCCTGGTTTCATGGGAGCCCATTGGTAAATCGGATGTCTAGAGCAAGCAGGGAAGTCAAAAACTCTAAAATGTTCTCTGAGAAACTGCCAGTGGTGATGGTGGTCTTCTCCAGCTCTGATGCAAGAATCAGGCCTGCAGAGAAAGAAGTGTAAATACCACAATTATCATATATTAAACTGTATAATAGATCAAATGGTTATCTTTATCTATGATGGCAGCTGGCTGTCTGTTTAGTCTCTTTGCACTGCCCATACACATCTCTGAAAAAAACAACTTCCCTAATTTCTATAGTTGTTAGAAAATTCTAAGTTTTTGTCTTCGCACAAGGGACCTTTTCAACTTATATAAAGAAGTCAGAACAGAGCTACTACAGGAGGAATAACCATTGAAGAATGGCAATTAGATTACATTGTGAAAATTATTTCTTTGAAAAATAAAATGACAAATTTAACTCTCTTAAGATTTTCAAGTCTACTAGGCAAGGGCCAAATTTAATTTCCTAGGTACCTTCTACATTCCATTCCTTTTTGTTTCTTTAGAAATCAAAAATTAAGAGAGCAGTGATAGTTTTTTCCCCTCTGTGTGATCCACTTTGTTTTATCATCACCTGGCACAAGGCATTAAAAAGATTTAAGATGACATAATCATTTTGGTTTCTTAGGATTCTTTAAGGTGAAATTCCTATATACTAACAAGGAATTCTAGATACAAAATATTATAATATACCTCTAATAAATGACTGCATTATTCTAAACATTCACGTCATACCCTTTGATTTAAAAAAATAATACCATTGATGTGCCTGAATCTTTTGACCAACATCCAAAACACATAACTCAACACACGTTAGAAAGATCATTTCTCTAAACTATATCATTCAGAGGAAGCAGGCAACCAACCTGGAACATATTTAAGTTATGCTCCACTGTCATCTAAGTAAACAAAAACCCCAAAGTGAGGTTAATGTAGCCTATTGACACCTTCCCAAAAATGCATTACCGAGAATTACTCTTCTTGATAGCTACAATCACCCACAGGACTATTAATATTAAAAGTTATCAAAGACAGAGTAATGAGCTGACTAAAAACAGCCATCATGGGAAAGCTCAGCCACAACATTACTACTGATCTAACACTGACCTAGAAATAAAGCGTCTAAAGTTAAATTCTCTATCTCACTACTACATGGCTATGACAATAAGGAAAACCACTCTGTGCCTCAATTTATTAATTTTTAAGAAGAGAAATAACACTTATCTTCTATCTTCCTATAAATAAAATATTGAGGGAATAAATGAGAATATAAATACATACACACGTACATGTACACACACACACACACACACACACACACACACACAGAGTCTTGAATACTTTTGAGAAAGGTCTCTAGATAAATTAAATTACCATGACAAAAGTGTCTCACACTCTTAAGTCCACCAAGGCTAAAAAGAATCCACTTTCCTCTTTTTCCATCCTTCCTATCTATTTAAAAAAAGCAAAAACCTAGCCTACAGTGAATTGCTGGTGGTTATAATAAAAAGGAAAGATTTTCAGACAGACTAATGTATTTAACAAGAACAATGAATCCCCAGGTACAATGGGGAATCCACTCTAGTCAATTTACTACTGTTTTTAGTAACAGCAACAAGCAAGAAAAAGGAAGCAAGTGGTAAAACATAGTACCTGAATGGTCCAATTCCTTTGATGACTAGTGGTTGGCCTGACTTCTACTTCATTTTCCTTAATTTGTTGTTGATTTAGTTGTTCTGTCTTGGTTTCAGTGACGTCCACTTGGTTCCCAGAACATCAACTCTTTTATAAAAATGGGTAGGTTATTCTGACCTCACTGGGGTGATAACTATCTCAGATCTGCTCCAATTTTAGAATTACAGATATGCAATCCAGGTTGCAAGGTTTAGCCTGAGGTATTCCTTTTTATCAAAATGAAACTTGAAATAGCTTTTTGAAATCCAAGTTCACTTTCAGATATCTCATACAAGGAACCATTTGACTCTGTTAAACAATCAGTCTTTTAGGTCCAAAATTATGAGGCAAATCAGGGACAAACATTTAATGTATGTATCTTTACATTATGGCATGACAGATATACTCTCAGATTAATACATTGGTTTTCTGCTGATATAACTTGACAGTATAGATAAAGTTGTTGATACATTGGCACATTGTTGAGGTACAATCTTGATAGATACTAGAACAACAATGAGGAAAAAATGATTCTAAAATTGGGGTTTAGAGGAGGCGAGGACAAAGTTTGTTAAAACTGTGACAATGACCAAATTCTCTAACATAATCTAAACTCTAAAAAAGAATTTATATTGAATGAGTGAACTTTGAAAATATTTAAACTAAAAACTATTTGAAGCTATAATGTGTTTATTAAACATAGATGTTGAAATATTTATAGTCTTAGTATAGGTGTATTTAAGAAGCTCAACTTAAGCTTAACTAAAAAGACTTCAGAAGGGGGAAATTCCTTAACATTAGCAAGGAATTCTGGTTAAATGAAATTCCAAACTAACTGTGGTGTTATTTTTTTTAAAGTATAAAAAGAAATCAGCACAGGGTTCCTCTTAAATTGATAAAGGAGGAGAAACTAGGAGTCCTATATAAGGAGCCATTGACAATTTAAGATCAATATTAAGAAATTATCCTTTAAATGACTGAGCCAAAGAGATGTGACTCCACTTAAATAAACAATTTACATGAACACAGACTGCATAAAGCAAAATATGAATAAACACGCAAAATCCTGTAGTTTATTCCTTATACCTAAGAAGGCAGCAATGTCAACTGCCTTATATTTATGTAATGTTTTATACTCTTCAAAGTGCTTTCTTATGTTACCTCATCCACACCCTGGACAACAATATAGTGAATTTATTTAATTATTACTACCCATTTTACAGATAGCCACTGATGCCCAAAGAAGCTAAGGCAACTTCCTTAAGGTATTCATAGTTCATTAGCAGAAGACTCAGTACTGGCCCAACCTCTTGCCTCCTAGTCCAACGCCTTTTAAAAAACTCCAAACTAACTCAATCACAATAAATCTCAATGTAAGTAACAAAAAAGAAATTTACAAGTGAAAATATTTTCAAGTAAATTTTTTAAGAAAAAAGGCCCTCGCAATAATCTTCTTTTAACCTCCCTTATGGTTCCTAAAAATTTCAAAGCCGGCAATACCCAACACAAAAGAAACTGTGTTCTAAACATGCAGTTATAGATTCATTATTTGGAACAATTTATTTCCCATACAAACCATGTTACAAATGATAATTGAATTTCTGGGTTGGCCTACAAAAGCCCAGTTAGCTTATTCTTAAAGAATGTGAATATATAATAAAAAAAAAAAGTAGAATTCAACAAGCATGTATTAAACATCAAGTATGCGCAGGGCACTAAATTTGGCACTAGGAAAGGCTACAAAGACAAAAAAGACAAGAGTCCCTGCCCTTGAGCTTACATTCTACAATACTGTTACATTAAGAATCTCTAGGCAAAACAGGAAAACTAAACTGATTAACAAAATTATGTTTGTTTGTTTTTATCTTAAAGCCTAGTGCTTGAGAAAAGTCACATTTACTTTTAAGAAAGGAGAAGGTAAACTGAGAATTTTGGGGAAAATCTGAAGGAGGATTTCCAGAAGAGGTATAGAGTTTAATAATACAGCCTCTCAAGCCTAACTTCATTCAAACCATAGGAATTCCCTCTCTTGTGGTATCCCTAGCACTACTCCTACATGACAACCGTACCAGTCACAGAGTTAGGATTTTTTCTTGGTCCACAAATGGAATAACAGGGAGAAGGGGGGGGGGGTTGAGGGTGAGGCACTATTCTTCTGAGATAACCAGACAAGAACTAAAAAGAATAGCAGCACAGAGTAAAGGTGGATATGTATGTTTATATGAGAGAGGATGCACGCAGGTGAATCTGTGAGAAGTTAAAGATGGAAAGACTGAGGCCTAGTTATGTGCACAATCCTCCAGCTATCTATAGCAAGTAGATTCTGGTCTTAAGAAATAATTGTCCTCAGAGTAGTTGAAGTGGAGTCAGTGTTCATAATCTGAGGATAAGTGGCTTGCCCCACATCATACAGGGAGTAAGTAAAAGAGTCAGAACTCAAATCCAGAGATATTTCACTGCCACCACACTATCCTAGTGGAATCTCCAACTGTCTTCACAAATCTAAGTGACTCAATACTATATCCTGGACAGACACTTGCCATTCATTTAATAGAAAATGAATCTGATCTGACCCATTCTGTTCTGTAGGCAGGCTACAAATGAAAGGAAAATTACTGCCAGGACACATGCATGTTATGGCATCAGAGAAGTGGTTAAAGTCGACCAACCTGCCTCAGCATTCAGTTCCTCTAGAAGCCCGCTGGTCTTCCAGGTAGCTCCTGTGTCCTGGCTTCCTACAGAATTACTGTGCTCTTGAACTACAGCAGCCGCCAATAAATTGTCCACATTTACCACTTCTGGGTCAGAGTTGGTGTCAGATATATCATAATGAGCTACAACTGAAGGTCCATCTGGGAAAGAAAGAAAATGTATACTGTATCTCTATATGGGGAGGAAAATATTCCTGGAAAAAAAAACAGAAGAACTCTCTAAATGTCAGATTCCTTTCACTATCTTATTGTATTTGCAGCAGAACAATTGTCCTTCATACAACTAATATTTAAGCAAAATGTGATACTAGAGAGGTACCCCAAGCTTACAAAGGTACATAATTTCAGAACGAGGAAAAATGTTCATTCAAAGAAAATATATAATTGTACTGAATAACATCATATTTAATTTTTTCATGATCCTAAAGAACAAAATTTTAAGAGTAAGAGGAACGATTCCACTCCATAGAAGATGAAAGTGAACTTTTATAGAAATTTTTAAAAGTGTAAAATTGATATAAACCATTAACAAGTGAAATTGTGGGGTTTTTTCACTGATTTGAGAGTATATAACTTTTAATAGATTACACTAATCAAAGCTCTAGCCTAGCAAGAAAGAGAGTAAGGAAATCTTCCTTACTTAACATTCATGGGACACATGCACTGCAGTTTGAAATATATGAAATGCCAGCAGTTTCTGAAACAAAGTGAACAAATACAACACAAGAGCAATTCATGACTGACTTGTCTATTCCAAGTAATGTACTGTGACAACAGAATGTTTATAATATTTGCAATATAAATCTATTTTCAAAATCAATAAATCCACAGTATCCATTTTCAGGATTTTGTTTTGAAATGCTTATAATGGAGAACACCTTGTGCAAAACAATTTTTTTCTCTTCACTCAAAAGACTATATTATTCAGATAAATAATGAGTAATTTGTTAATTAAGTTAGGAAAGTAGCAAAATAGAAATCACACTGAAGGATGCTCAAATTTTCATAGGGAAGGTTAAGAAAGAGATCCTTCCCATTCTGACTGGCATTCCTGAAGATTACTGAGAAGCATTTTAAAGCGAGGATACTCCAGCAGTCCACACTAAAGTAACTCACTATTCATGCTATTTGGACAGGTACCTGCTAAAAACAAAAATAAAAACAGCTGTCTTAAGTCCTCTCAAAAACAATGCCTAAACTAAAAGTTTTCCTTAACAAGATAAGAAAAAATTGGATCATAAACTTAAGAGTTTGCAGTGGTTTCAGAGGCCATCTAGTCCAACCTCTTCATTTTGCAGATAAAGATCTAGGGCTGAGAGATGTTTAGAGACTTATCCGAGGTCACATATTTGAACCCATATTTGAATCCAGGTTCCTCTGACTCCAAAGCAATGCTTTTTCTGCTGTACTACCTTGCCTCTAATCATACAAAATCCCATAACTCTAAATCCCATCAGATTTAGAATAAAACAGACATAAAAAAGAATGTCATTTGTTACTAAAGGCAATATGCAACAAGCCTAAAAATATCTCCATAAGGGATATTTTTATGTCATCCTACAAATGGATATTGTAACAACCACTGACTGGTCAAAGAGAAATAAAGCTCAGCTAATCACACTAAAACATTACTCAAAAATAAATTATTATTTAAAGATCCAATTTTTTATAAATTGCCACTGAAGGAAAAAGGAACAATATTTTTTTGGTCTTTGTTCCTCCAACTTATCCCACAGATTAATGGAATGTTACAAACTTAAAAAGAAAATTTAAATTCAACATAAAAGTAAATGGATAGTTAGATGCCAGCATATAAAGTGCGAACATGCCACAATTATGAAATTCTGACGATTATACTTAAAATAAATTTCAGATGATTTAATAAGAAAAATGATCTTCATTCCCCAAAAAGAGGAAAATTAATTTTAACAGGGACCTTTTAATTAAATAGTTGAGGAATGACTTATGATTTTATTGACGGGTATACAGTTTAGTCTAAATTAAAGACTGGACCACGATAATTTTTTAAAAAATAAGACAGCAGTGTGTGATATCTTCCGTAACGTTATCGTCAGAGTTTGAAATGATATATATGTACATACATATGCATATATACATATATACACACACACACACACATACACACACATATATCAACATACTGTGTGATCTCTTAAAAACATACACACATTGAGTGCAGAAGATACGAGGGTCAAGTACAATATTGACTATTTGACAACATCTTTGGGGAAAGAACTCATTTTAAGTTAAAATATTTAGCTCCTTTCAATTAAATTTTTTCAGTGAATGAGTTTTTAACCATTTTTGCCAAGATCACTGAGAAAAAAACTCATCAAAATATGGAAAGAACTAGAAATTTCAAATTAGATCTAAACAAAAAATCATTATCAACTCAAAACTTTTAAAATTAAATTAATCAAATGTAATTTAAAATGTTTTAACATGTAATTGGGGAAAAATAAAATACTGTATTAAAACGTCATCATCAAAGTCAAAATTGTACCACTCCTACATGTATAATCATGCAAAATGTATATTATATATATATATATATATGTAATAGATGTATATACATGCAGAGTGATATTTCTTATCACCTACCCATGGAAATAACTTGTGTGAAAGTCTTCTTCAGTAGGAAATACAAGCATAAACTTGTTATCTGTAGCTCCACTCTTGTATCTTCCACACTTCAACAGCATACCTTATAACTTAGCTTAAATTTAGTATACATTATAAACAAAAACAGCAACATTTTTCTTCATATTTTTGCACTCCATGACAGTAACAAATCTGATCACTAACTACGGTTTTAGTTTCCAGAAAGTTCAAACAATAAGTGATCAATACTTTAAAATCCTCCAATAAAGGAACTAGCTTTTCAACATTATCTTTCAGATAGGAATTTAAAATTCATGGTCATTGTGTGCCAGGGCCAAAGTAAACTTATTGTCAATGAATCTTGGTTTCATCATGATGGTGGATTATTCATATTAAGGTATAAAAATCTAATATCCTAGAGTGATTTGTCTGCTTTCAATAAGGATACTTTTTTCCCCTGAAAAAACAATTCTGAGACTATATAGGTGTTAAGGTAGCTAACTTGGGATATTTATGCTAACAGTTTGAACCTACTCATATAACTACATTAAATAATGAACAGAGACAACTTCTATCATCTATTTATCATCTGATTATCCCTCCAAGATGTGGGGAAAAAAACACCACATTACCACTGAAGAGGGAAGAGATGACTTCAGTTTCCATGAGATTGTCAACAGAGGAACATTCAAGTGAAGATTCACTAAGATATACTTCTCTTTCTATGAAATAAGTAAATGATGTACCTACTCCATCTCCTCACTCTCTCATATTATGAATTTTAGCATCTGTCAATACATTATTTTTTTTGTTTTGTTTTGTTTTTTTGGCTAGGCAATGGGGTGAAGTGACTTGCCCAGGGTCACGCAGCTAGTGTTATGTGTCTGAGGCCGATATGAACCCAGGTCCTTCTGAATTCAGGGCCGGTGCTCTATCCACTGCGCCACCTAGCTGCCCCCAATACATTAATTTTTAAAGCAGATTTTTTCCCCCTTTATATCATTATCAACAAATATTTTTAGCAAAGAAATGACCCATCAACAAGATTTTTTCAGGGATACTGTTTCAGTTTGTAAATTATCCAGTTTCCTTGCTTCTCCTTCTCTTTATGTTGGAAGACTTTTCCATACTTCCCTACTGCTAATTACCCTTTACCAAATAGGGGGGACAAAGGAAATAAAGTCATTCTATTCAATGACTCTTTTTTTTTAAAGTAACTACTTAAAAAAAAGCTCCTTGGGGCAAAGGATTTCTAACCTTTCTGATAACAAGGCCTGAGGGATTATCTATATATTTTCAACCACCCATAAGCATAGGAAATAGAATTATTAAATGACTTCTCACCAAGTATTGTAGCTCCTATAATTTTATCTTTGTCTCTCCTCCATTCCCCTTATGAAATGACCAAAAAAATTTATGCTTCTTTTCCTTTTGTATCTTAATGTTATCACCCATTTATTTTATTTTCTCTTATTTAGGTTTGAGTTCTCACTGATCTGTTCCAACAGTATTCTTTCATAAAAGTGATTCTCAATAATAAAATATTCTCAAATATATTCTTTCATATAAGTTTTCCTAATATTGTAGACTTCACTCTTTTCCAATTGTTGGCTTTCTTTTGTAACATTCTTTTGACATGATTTAATCAAAGTTAACTTTACATTCAGTTGGGTAGTCCTATCCTTTATAAGGACATGAAAACCAGCTTGAATCAAGCTGAACAAAAATAATAACATATCAATCTACCTTTTTTTGGACATTCAATTCTTGAATAAAAAATTGGTTGTCAACTCTTATTTTTCCTTTTACCTTCTCTATCAAATGATCTTCAGATTAAAGAATAGGTGAAAATTGCAAAGAAATATTTATCAGCTTTGATTTAAAAAAAGGTAAATTTTAACAAGTGGAGCTAACAAAAAATGGAATAAGCCGCTTCCCCAGCTAGTGAGTTCCCAATTACTGGAGGTCTTCAAATGGAGACTGGATGTTGCAGAGTAAATTCCAACTATATGTCTAACAGGTTGGATTAGATGACCTCTGAGGTCCCTGCTAACTCTGAGCTTATGGGTATGATATGTAAGAAAATGGAAAAAAAATTTAAGGAGTTGAAATCCAAAATAAATGAAGAGAGCATAGAAGTGACCCTCAATATGTTCAAGTCATCTGGCCTGGTCAACTCGGACCTTAAGGTATAGAAAAGACTCGCCAATGTGAATGTTATTAATGAGTTCTGAAGAACTGTAGACAAGAAAGAAAGCAATATAGGACTGGAAACAGATAAACATCCCAATTTTCAAAAAGGCAAAGAAGGCTGATTCTACAAACTCTATGAGCAACCAAGACACTGATTCCTGAAAAAATTCTAGAAAGCGTTATTTTTAAAAGGGTGATTCATAAGCACTTATTAAAAGGTGATTACTAAAAACCAGAACATTAAGAATGCCATGCCAGAAAACCCTTGGTTTTGGTTTTCCTCCTGACATAGTTAATAAACTAGCAAATGAGGGGAATGCAAAGAC